AGACAAGGGTAACCAAGTGCTCATGTGTGAAATAAAAAGTTTTCCTAGCCTAGCTTTTTGTTTTTTGTCTTTTTTGCACGATGCTGGCTCTCCCACATCGGGATCTGCCCCCTTGTTTCCTCTCTTGTGATTGACAGTCAGCCTTCTGGCCCTTAGCGGGCCTCAGTTACAGTGTGGGATGAGGAAGCCAGGTAAAGATGCTGAGTCAGGCACAAGCTTTACGATACTCTAGGTGAATCTGCTTAACTTTTTTTAGTCTTTTGACGGCAATATTATGAGCAGAAAAAACCCTGTTATTTTAGTAATGGTTCAGCCAATGCCCTACAGGGCCATTTTAAACTTGAATAAATATATCTGAGATGCTAGAAACCTGAAAGGACCCTGGCTCAGGGGTGTAGCCTAAATTCCCAGGATGGGGCCATTTATAAACTCCTGCTGTGGCTCGTGCCTAGAGGGACCCACCACCTGACCAGGGCTTTTCTGCCATCAGAGAGAAACAGCACACACAAAAGAAGTTGCTCCCCGGGTCTCTGGAGGTGGCAGGTAGCTGTTTGACTAAAGTTGTTAGTGCAGATGGACTCCCCATTTTGTGGTGACTTAAATCACATATAATTTTCATATCCACTTAAAGTCATTCCTTTTGTAGAAAAGACCTAGGAGATGATTTCCCTAGAGAGAGACAGGAAAAAGAAGTGCCTCAGAATCCTTTTCAGAGTCTGTCATTCAAAAAGTGAATTTTGGGGCTTCCCTGGTGGCGCAGTGGTTGGGAGTCCGTCTGCCGATGCAGGGGACACGGGTTCGTGCCCCGGTCCGGGAAGATCCCACATTCCGCGGAGCGGCTGGGCCCGTGAGCCATGGCCGCTAGGCCTGCGCGTCCGGAGCCTGTGCTCCGCAACGGGAGAGGCCGCAACAGTGAGAGGCCCGCGTACCGCAAATTTTGAATTTACTTATTTATTTTGGATTTTTAGTCCAAAATAAATAAGTAAACAAACAAACAGTCTGGGTCTATAGAAAACAAATTCCACAAAGATCAGTCCTATTCTTCATGCGACTATAAAATGTGTGTGTGTATATATATATACACACATATATATATAATATCTTGGCAAAAATAGTATTCTGATCAAAATACAAATTCATATACTTTGTTCTAATTTAATGTTCTTGGCAGGGCTTTCCTTTTTTCCAGTTCTCTAACTCAAAAAAAAATTTCAAAACTGCAGAAAAACTAGCATAGGAAAAACATTTGTTGAGACAATTTTTAAAATCCAAACACATCTGCTCGTCACTTTAAGTCTTCATCCAGCCTTTCTCCCAGCCTGCTCCCCTCACAGAAGGGGGTTGGGACCACGGGGGCGCGGGGAGAGGGGGGATAGCCTGGCCCTTCTGATGTGACCAGCCTTCATAATCATGTCCAGAAACAGCCAAGTTACCCGGTTTGCGTATTCACTGCTTGTATATAACATTCTGACGCCAAGACCATGAAGAGCACACATCCAGCGCTCCTTCATTCCATGGTCTACTGGGGGCATTGCAGAGGCCTCAGTCCTCACTTCTTAAGTTCTCTTCTTTCTAATATGCCTGAATTATAGAGACTTTTCAGTATACAGTAAGTTATTGGTTGTCCCTAACAACTGAGCAGTAAATTTAGCCTACTAATTACCTTTCTCTATTTTGCCTTTAATAATAGTAGTTAACATTTACTGAAGGTTTATTTGTGCCAGGAGTTGTTCTGAGTTCTTTAAGTATATTAGTTGATGTACTTTAATAATTAATTCTGTGCGTTAGATGCTCTTTATTACCTCCACTTAACCCCGGTCCAGTGTTCTAATCCCCACCCCGCAAGTCAGGCTTCCAGCCACCATGCTGTGTTGCCTTACTCTTTAGATTTCAAACCTAACATTATTCTGTTAATAAATAGGAAGGCCATATGAAATTATTCTGTTTAGCAGTTGATTCTATTTTAACTAAAACTTTAAAAGCTTTTAAAAACACTTTCTACGTGCCAAGGTCGTTGTAAGCACTCTACACAGGTGTGAATTCATTTGATCTTTGCACCAGTCCTATAAGGGCAGGTACCATTATTAATCCCATTGTATGAGGAAGGAAATGGAGACACAGAGACATTGAGTAGCTTGCCCATGGTCACCCAGCTAGTATGATAGAAATCCAGGGTGTGGAGGCAATGCATGTGCCAATTGTTGCAATTATTTTAACGTTCTAGTCCTGCCCCTGCTGTTTGCCTTCGAACAAATTATTTCATCTTTCTGATTCTTAGCGACCTCATTTATGAAGGAGGGGGGCTGATTCTGTGATCGTTTAAGATGTCCTCAGCAAACCCTGCAAAGTCGCACTGAAAAGCCTCGTTTATGCCAGTTTGAAGGCTTAAGTGCAAACTCCACCTTTTAAACGGCTGTGCCTTCTGATTCCTCCGGATATCTCCAAGAATGGTTTCTGGAAAGGGATCAAGCAGGATGCTAAAAATGTAGAAAATATTTCGATGGTCTCCAGAAATGCCAGCTTCAGCTCAGCATGTGCCAGTGGGTACAGATAATCCTCAACACTCTGTGTAAATCCTGGCTCCACCATCCACCAGCTGTGTAAGCTGGGCGAGTACTCCATCATTCTGATCTCAGCGTCTCTCTCTGTAAAGTGGGGATAATAATAATCCTACCTCGATAGAGCTGAGTGAGGATGGAGTGAGGAGTCACTGAGATCATATGTCCAGAGCGGGCAGAAGAGAACTTGGCCCACAGAAAGTAGCAAGTAAACATTTAACATTATTATTGCAGAAGATCTCTGATCCTATGAAAGGGAAGGATTGCGAATCACTATGGTCATAACTGCAGAGGATTCCTTTCTGAGGTCTGATGGCAGCCCAGCTCCTCCCAAGATTTGGAAAATTGGGCTCATTCTTTACCTCCAGCTTAAAAAAAAAAAATCCAGTTAAATTGCTTAATGGTTAAGATAGATGTGACTTGATACTGAGCTAAATTAGTTTGCTGAAGTTACTTAATTTCAGAGGGCCTGTGTCCAGATCAATACGAGCTAGAAGTTTTTATTTAATCTGATTACTATAACAAGGCAATCAGCGTTGTTAACCCTAGTCAATTGGTTGGACTGAATTTTCTAAAGTTTGTAAGACATAAATATTCTGCCTGCCCCTTAGTTAAACTAAGAGGAAGTGGCTTAATTATTTGCTAAACGTTTTATAGTATATTTTCTGAGGACTGGAAATAGCATTTTAGAGGACTAGAACCTATTTTCCCTTTTAGACAACTCATCAAACTCTCTCAGTATATAAATTACCCAGTATGCAAGGTAATGGAGAAGAAAAACTAGGAAATTTTGAAATACTTTTGTAAGTGTGATAAAACAATTGAGACTTGAAATTTAACACTACCTGGAGGTATGATTATACTCGCCTGTCACCCTTCTTAGAGGAAACTCACTTTTGCTCTATGGAAGAGCCAAATAAATTAATCCACAGCTTTAAAGTGTGTTATTAGCTTAATGCAAATTCAATCTGGGAAGAAATTAGGTCCTTCAAAAATTGATCACAGAATGTGACACTTAATGGTAGTTTATGAAGTAGTATATTCATCTGGCAAAGTTGTATGTACAAATATGATAGGATTATATCCGGGACAAAACAAATACCCTGAATTTAAGTAAAGCTTTCAGACCTGAAGGCAATCAGAGAGATTATATCTTCCACCAGGGGCCCAGAGGGATTAAGTGATTTGCCTAAGGTTACACAGATAGTAAGTGGATATTCCAGATTTGAGCCCGGGATTTCTTGAGCTAAAGGGGAGGGAAGGCCCATTCTTCTCCAACATGCATTCAGACACTGTTATAATGGTAACAATTCCAGTAACCACCGTCTTTGAGTACTCCTCTGAGCCAAGCACTCAACCTGGCTCTGTCCACAGGACCCCTTGTCCCACCTCTCACAGCTCTATGAGGTTTGTCTAGTAATTCTCCTTTTCTAGATGGCATCACTGAGACTCAGCATTTGTGACTTGTTCAAGGCTATACAGCTAGCAAATGCCAAAAGCTGGGGTCCAGCCTCACTCATGAATCTGCACTCTTTCCACTGGACCCACTGTTTCACTCATGGGCGCCGATATGACCATACCTTTGACAAGGTTTTCCTTGAAGATCAGTATTTTAACTTCCTGCCGTGATAGCCTGAGCTGTGCGTAACTGTAGAACTTGTAACCGAGTAGGTGAAAAAAAGCCATACCGTTCCCAAGATGCTCAGCTCACACTCCACGGAAGGGGGCATCAGAATGGTACATTAATTACTGTTTGTCTACTGGTCTTGAAAATTAACTAATTGACTTTTAATAAAGTCAAGCACAAACAATCTACCACATTATTAAAACATCACCTGCTAGCCTATGTAGGCCACGGATTCAAGATCATGAACTTAAAAGAAAAAATCAAATGGTCAACTCCAAGAGGATGACAGCAGAACATTAAGCCTGATGCTCTGTAAATTAATACTTAGAGGTAAACTAGAAATACTGTAGAAAATTACTGTTTATTTAATGTTTCATTCTCTTTGAAAGACACACTCCCAAATGTTCAGTTCTACCCTACATTTAAAGATAAAAAGATGATGGAACTCGATTGAGTGAGGATGGTGCTGAGCACGTTGCGGGAAGAGAGCTAGAATCGCAGTAGCAGTATCACAGCAAAATATCTTAGATTTACCAGCTCAACTGCCTAATGTTTTATGTGTGTTAGAAGTATTAGTTCCAAGGCAAAATGAGGGAGTATTATGTTTGTTTGTTTGGAAACTTGTTTTATTAAAAAAGATTTTTTTCATGTTAATGCTATTTTCAGTACAGGTGTGATAGTACTCCATAAAGTATCGTGTACTTGATATAGTAAATTTAGGAATGTAACAGTCCATCTAGGTGCTGGCCCCCTCTGGTCTCCATTAGACGCCCTAGTAGCAAAATGTAAATTCCCTTTTCAAAAATAGAGAGGCCTTTGGGCAACTGGATGAGCAGAGTGGGGTGGGGCGAGGAAAGTGCTCTTTCCCGACAAACTCATGCTTTTGGCTTTGACTTCCTTTAGTAATATCAGTTCTCAGAGAACTGAGATAGACCCTTCTATGCTCCGCAGAAGCATAGGAGGCAAAAAGCTTGTCGTTCACAAGCAGCTGTGGACAAAACCAGCGGCAGAGTACAGGTTAGGGAAATTAGGGATCCAAAAAAAAAAGTTGGAGTAAAGTGCACAGTTACTGTCAAAAATATATTATTTTGATCCTAAGAAAATTCAGAGAATTTTATCCATGAACTAGATTGCTGACCTTTTAATACATTTGGTTTTCATAGAACAATCACCATCGGACATATAAGACTAGTTTGCTTTTTTTTAAAAAAAAAAATTGCTTGGAGTTATCTACAGGAATCTCGTGAACGCAATTCAAGGCTAACATTCTGCAGCTCTTTGGGTAGTGGACGATTTCCTCGGATAAATCCTCAAGGACAGGGAACTGTTAAGCTCACTGCTTCAAGCGGGCGTTTCTCCTATTTTCTCACTCTTTTCTCGCCTCCTTTTTCCCTAAATGCCAGTAGTTTCCAGTTCTCCGTCCTCGACCGCTGGGGCGTGAGATCGGGAAATCATGAAGAGTTTCTCCTCGTTTGTAAACTGCCTCTGCACCCGCTGGGGGGGCTCGCCCGCTGGGGGCTTCTGGCCAGGACCCTCGGGGGGACTCTGCTCCGCCCCCGGGGAGGTGGCGGCATCACCGTCTGGACTTTCACCAGCCACCGGGTCCACCACCGACTCCAGGGAGGTGCCGGCCTCCCGCAGCGGGGTGTAGCCCTTATTGCTGCAGGACGGGTCATCCGACTGGAAGCTCGGCGAGTCCGGCCCGGCGGGGGGCGAGCGCTCCCACCGCAGCGGGGGCTCGGGGGAGGCAGCTGGGGCCGGGACGCTCGAGTCCAGGTCCGCGCTGCGCGAGGCGGGCGGGGGCTCGGGGGACGAGGGCGCCCGGTAGTCCGGGAGCCCGCTGGTGCTGCGGCGTCGCAGGGCCGCGTACCTGCCGGTCCTGGGCAGGCGGCCGCCCTGCCCCCTGGCGGTGCACGCGGCCGCCGCGCCCGCCGGCTCCTCCGGCTCGCGGGGCGCCCAGCGCGCGCCGCCCCGGGCGCCGCGGAGGTCGGTGAAGCTCAGGTCGGGCTCGCCCCGCGGGATCTCCCGGGAGCCGCGCTCCCCGGGCGGCCGCTGCCAGCCTCGGCTCGCGCCCGCTGCGTCCCCATCCCCGTCGCGGTCCCCCGGTAGGGGCAGCAGCGCGAAGGCGCTCAGCGAGGAGCCCACGAGGGAGCTGGCGGTGCTCTGGCGGCCCCAGCTCTCGGGGGGGCTGCAGGGCGCCGGGCTGCTGCTGCTGCTGGCGGCCGCGGTGGCGGCGGCGGCCCGGCGACGGCCGGCCACGCCGGAGCGCTCACGGTAGATGCTGTACACGGCCTCCGCCAGGCTCTGGGGCTCCCGCGGGCGGCACGGGGACGAGGCCAGATCTGGGGGGGACGCGGCGCCCCGGGCCCCGCCCCCGCCCAGCGCCGCTGGGTGGGGCCACGCACCCCTGCCCAGCATCGCCGTCGCCCCGAAGGCGTCCCCGGTGCCGCCACAGCCTCCGGGCTTCAGCTCCAGGCCCCGCGACTGCACGTAGCTGAGGAAGCCGTTGAGCGGCGCGGCCCCTGGGGGCGCCGAGGCGGGGGCGGAGGACGAGGAGGAGGCGGCGGCTGCCGCAGCCGCGGCGGCTGCCAGGTCTTTGGCGCGGAGGCTGTGCACGTCGATGACGGTGGAGTAGAGGTCCCGCAGGTTGATGATCTTAGTCTTCTTGTCCCGGTTTTCATGGAGCACTGCGTTGGCGCAGATGAATAGGAAGATGCCGATGCCCATGATGAGGGGCCCAAAGACCTTGAGCTTGTCCGAGTGTAGGTAGCTGGAGAAAATGCGGAAGAAGAAGCCCACGGACGTAGGAGAGGACGAAGAGGAGGGTGCGGAGGACCGTGCTGGAGGCGTGCTCCTGGGCGCGCCCACGGAACTGGCGGTGACATCCTCCGGAGGCCCCGGGTGCTTCCTGGACCGGTTTCTGCTGCCACTGCTGCTGCTGTTGGTCATGGTGGGGACGCGGTGGCCGCTGCCTGCGGGCGGCAGCTGCTTACCCCCCTCCCTGTTGGTCCCGTTGGCCTTGGGCCAGTAACCCACCACCGCCAAGGCTATGCCCACCAGCAGCACCAGGATCCCGCAGAGGGCGATGAGCCCGGAGACGGAACAGAGCTTCAGCTTGCCTTTCACCACCACCACGTCGTTCTTGCGCCTCTTCTTGGCTTTCCGCCTGCGCTTGGGGACTTGGCTTGGGGGGCGGAGGGGATCCTGCTTTCTGGCGGAAATCCTCAGCAGGCCGCCGGTGGCGATCATGGCGAGTGGGTGCAGTGCGGGGCTAGCCCCTGGGGCGGAGGCCTGTGCTGGGGCGGGGGCACCAGCTGCCCACTAGCTGCTCCGCCACCTCCTCCCACTGCAAAGCAGAGGAAGACAGTCAGAGGGTGTAGGCTTGGCTGCAGCAACATCCCACGGGCTGCCATGGTCTCGCTCCCGGGTCCCACCACGTGCGTGTCCCTCGTCCCAGGGCCATTACCCGCTAACGGGAGTGCCCTAGGTAGAGACCAGGGGGTGCGGGAAATGGATTAGGGAAGAGAAGCGCTGTTGCAATAAGTGATCAGAGACGATAAAACACTTTGAGAGTCCACCTCCTTCTCCCCCCCCCCCCCCGCATCCTCCACTCACTCTGTAGGTACTATTCCAGCAGTGCTCATTTCAAACGCTCCTGCCTGACAGCCAACGGCATTCTGACCATTAGTAAAAGCTATCAATAAATGTGGGACTCGGCGGTAGTGGGCGAGGGCTTTCCTGGCTTTCTCAAGGGAGCTGCCCCAGAGTTCCAAGTCTCTAACGGAGCACAGAGATCTGTTAGTGTGGGGCCCACAGTCCCAAAAACAGTCACAAAAGTTACTGATTTATAAAGACAAAAGGAAATCATTTCACTGGATGGGAATTAAAAGTCATATCCTGGCAGACGGACTATTTACCCGAGATAACTAATAAAGAGTTCATGGCTAGGAGAACAGTAGAGAACTATGTCAGTGCTCTGACCATGGATCCCTCCACCAACTGGTCTCTCAGCCATCACTGTTCTTACAGCTAGAGGCACGCTGATCCCTCTCACAGCTTCCTCATTTCTCTTTTGCAACATCTGGACAGCTTCTTGGGGTGGAATATTTAGGTTTAGGTAACTGGTTATGTAACTGCGCTCTTCCTTCTGGCTTCCTCTCCTCCCTCAGAGGAACTCCCTTAAAGGTATCATGTGCTAGATCTCATCAGGGAATTTGAGAAGTCCCCCGGAATCTCCAAGAGAAAGATCTTTTTCTCATATGGGAAAATTCAAATCTGAAAACAAAGCAAAACAAAAACTAAAAAACAAACTCTGCCATAATAGCGTTCCGACCCCTTATTACTGTGCCAACAGCACATTCTAAACAAGCCAAATATTCAAATGAGGAGGCAGTTAGCTAGGTACAGCAGTCTACGTAATAACGATTTGTAGAATGACATCTCCCCAAATGAGAGCTGTTTTCATCTTTTTCTTATGAGGTCATTTTTAGGAAAGGAGGACAGCAACAGTCAATGGACTCTCCTATAGGAAGTTTAGTTGTTTATAATAAAGCTTGGGTAGGTAAATGCACAGACGCATCTCTGTGGATATCTGTCAGCTTCTAAAAATTTCAATCCTACTGGATCCCCAGAGTAACACATTTTCTGTTCCATTGGTTGTGTTCCCTTCTATAATAGAGATGTTAAAATTAAGGGCATTGTATGAAATTGAAAGGCTTAGATATCACTCACAAGCCTTTGGGAATTATATCCTTTATAAAATAATGTTTTAGAATAAATTACCCTTTGGAAATGTGGGATTACTTCGGTAGAATTTTGCTTTTAATTGGTGCCTGGGTGAAGAGCTTTGGCCCTTGATTCACCTCCATCATACCAGTTCAGGCAGGATCATTCCTCCACTGGTGGAAAATCAAATGGTAATCAACTATTTCTAATGTTTGCAAATCAGTATCTCCTCGAACTTGGTTGGTTTTCAGTAAGGAGGAACGCCAGGTGGGTTAGAGAGGGGTTAAACATGAGGTAGGTTACAGAGGGTTAGTAGAGAGACATCTATAAACCTTTTGAATTTTGTTTTTAAGGAGCTGCACCAGTAAGTACAGATTGAAAAAAAAAAAAAAAAAAACCCCAAACCAGAGTAGCTTACTGTCCATCCCTTCCTCCCACCCCTAGATGAACACATTCATTACGTAGTTGTAACACAAAGACTGCTTAGACTCTAGCATCTTTAATGTAATAATCTGAAGACCTGTGATGATTTTAAGAAGGATTGAGGAAGCCAGACATTTTAGAAGCAAACCCAGACTCAGTTGGCAAGGTGGCTCTCCCAGAGGAGAGAAAGGCTAACTAACATTTTGTTGGGCATTGATATGGGTGCTGGACGTCTTGGGAGAGGAAGGTCCACACCTGTATTTCACCTCAGCAAGGCAGCTTTGGCTCTGGGTGGAGTGTAAGGAAGACTGGAATGGGTTTCAACAAATCGCTTACAGAAGATCTTTAAAATTAGTTTAACAGCTAGTAATTAACTCCCTAGTTTATTATTCCTTCAGCTCTGCTGAAGCCTGAACTCCTTTATTATGTATTTCCATCTGACGGGAAATACTGATAAAGGTCAGATGGCACGGAAAACCCACCTTTGAGGTTTTCTTCATACAGAACGAAGGAAAACAAACTTATCATTCGAGCTTGGCTGCCCTAGCAATTTACTGCCTAGTGCTGGTCTTTGGGTGGTTAAGGAATGGAGGATGGGGAAGCAAAGGAGGGATGTCTAAAAATACGACCGCTTCCAAGAGAGACATTCAAGTTCTCGGCTCATGATGGATTAAGCCCCACTCGGTGTCTGAGGCTCAGAGCCCACAGGGCTGGGAGCGCCCTGCCCTGCCCGGGACTCGACCCAGGTCCTCGACCCCCGGTCCCTCACTGGCAGGGCAGCGAGCCCCTTGCCCTTCTTATTAGGTCTGCTTATGTATGTTGGAGTCACATGAGTGTAGCAGCTGGGAGTCCGCCTCTGGAAAGAAAACAGGCAGGAGCGAAGTGAGGGCAGTCCTGAACTCGCTTTTATCTGGGCAGCGCATGCCGTGTAGCCCGCCCAGGAAAATTACTCTCCCGAACACCCGCCCGGGGGACCCGGGCTCGGGCAGGAGGGCTGGGGAGGGGCCGCTCGGGGGCCGGGGACAGACAGAATTGCTCAAAATGGCAGCACTGTAAGCAAACAATATCGCTCACTTACCCGGGTAGACTGGGGCAGCTCGCAGCCAGAGAACGGGCGCTCGGGCTACACAAAGGAACCATGGAGAAACTTTTTCAGCCTGAGCCGACGGCGGAGCGCAGGGACAGCGCCTCGGGGCCCTCCATCCGAGCGAGCGCGGCTCAGCAGCGCAGCAGGGGCGAGCGCCCGCCCGGGGTGCGCAGCCCCCTACGGTGCCGGGGCGGGAGCCATTTCCAAGAGTTTCCAAGAAGTGTCAGGTCCTCCGCATCCTGCATCCTGCCTGGATCCGCTCTCCCCGCCGCCGCCGCCGCCGCCCCGTTCCCTCGCCGTGCCCTCGCCGTGCCCTCCCGCGGCGCTCCCGGCCGACCCGGCGCCTCTTTGTGTGGCTGCCGCGCGCCGGGCTCCGCCGGGTGGAGTTGAGCCCGCGGCGGCGGCGGCTCGCTCGGCTCGGGGCGGCCGGACCCGCGGCTGTTGCTAAGAGACCGGAGCCATGACACAGGGAAATTGCTGCAGGATGGCAGTCGGTACCCGGCCCGACTCGGCAGCTCTGGGGCGCACCCGCCCCCCGTCCCCCGCCTCCTCCCCGGCTCCCCGCCGCCGCCCCCCCGCCGGCCTCCCCCCGCTCCCACCACTTCCTCTCCCGCGGGCGCGCGTCCCTTCGGAAGAACCGCTTCCCCGAGGACTGGGAGGCGTGAGGGGAGGCGGAGGAGCGGGCCCGGGCCGGGGGCGCGCGCGGGGAGGGCAGGGCGCCGGGCGCCTCGGCCTCGGCCCTCCCATCCCCCGGGGCGCCCCGGGACCGCTGCCTGCCCTGGCTGGGAGCTTTGTTCTTTTTCTCCCAACTAACCTGTCTGACCGGCGGGCCGAAGGGGGCCCAGAGAAAGGGCCGCCGCTCCGGGAGGGGCTCCCCATCAGCATCCGGGGGGTGCTCTCGGGGAGCAAGGGGTAGCGCCCCCGTCTCCTTGCCTCCCTCCCTCCCCGCCTCCCCTCTCCTTTCTCCTCTTTTGTTGCCTGTACTGTCGGACGCGACACAGCTTTTGCTGTTTCCCCCCCTCCCACTTGGGAGTTGGCAGTGTGGACGCAGAGCGAACACAGTAAGTTGTCCCCCAGCGAACTCGGGCCCGGCGGAGTGGAGCCGCCCCCGCCGAGCTGCGCGCCCCGCGGGGCTCGTGGCAACCGCGGTCCGCTGTCCTCGCGCTCCAGCCCAGCCGGGCTTTGTGGCCGGCCTCCCCGGGACCTCGGCAGTTGGGGCCCATCGGAGATTAGAATCAGCCCCGGGGCTCTCGCTGTGCGGCAGCCCCTCCTGCTCCGACCCACGCGGTCATCAGCAAACATGGAAAGGAAAACTGTCATTCTCCAGGAATCAGGGTTAGAATCAGAGGGGAGGTGGGGGTAGGGAGGCCGTCCAAACTCCCTACGTCATTTTTAAAAAGCGAGAGGGAGAAAGAAATCCTGTTTCCTAGCTCGTCCCTGCCCTCTCAACTGTAAAGTAAAAATGACAGGGAAAAAAGAATTTCAAAGTGGAATTTCCCCGTGGAGAATTGAGAAGAAAGTAAGAAAGTTTTAAATTATCTATTGAAATGGGGCAGCCGAGGTTCAAGAAGAAAGCAACAGAAGAGCAGGTGCTGTCTGAACTTCGGGGTCCAGACAGAAATATTTGGCTGGGGGCGCTGTTGTATATTCTGAGTTTGGCTGGCTGTTTAAGGGTCCACGGATCCCACCCAGGAGGGCTTTGCCGCCCACAGTTCCAGTTACAAGATTGTTCCTCAAGGTGCACAGCATTCTCTTGTGTTTAAAGCTAGAGCTTGCACTTTGCAAAAAGAACAATAAGGACCAAACATTCACGGGCTTCAAGAGAGAAATGTGATGATACGGGGATGGAGATGGTGGGGAGACAGGAGGGGGTGGAGGAGAAATGTTTCCTCAGAGGAAACCTCCTGCACCTGCTTGTTTGGAAGGTGGCCTCTGTCCCCCTTTCCAAGCAAATAATGAAGCTGGATGTTGATCAGGGTGTTCAGAGCCCACCACCTTCTACCTCTCTGTTCCTGCTCAGGTTCAGAACGCTAGAAAACAAGCCATAACCAAGGGGAAGTTTTCAATCCCACATTGGAGTGTTTCCCTTTAGAGAAATCACTGCAAAGAAGAAATCACTGGGTCTAATAGTGATTTGAAAAGGTTTCTGGGTTTTTTTTTTTGTTTTTTGGCTCTGAGCATCTAGACTTCTTGAATCCCAGTAATAAACTGGTGTTTTGCACAAAGATTGGATCTAAGATCTCATTACACAGCTAGCTGCCAGGGGCCATGGGGGACAACTCCTATCCTCGTGGGCCTCTGTTTGCTGAGCTGTGTAAACGGGAATCATGCTGCAGAACTTCAATACGGTCTGAGGTGGATTAAGCCGTTAATAGTTTCAAATTTCTACATAAATTATAGCCCTCATTTGCACAGTTAAAACTCATTTGAGGGATTTGAGGAGAAAAGAGAAGCATCCTTTTCTAGACAAACAGGCCTTGGGACATATTTTTCTTATGTTGGTGACTGCAATAAAATTTATGGTTTATTATCCAAAGGCTTCCTTCCAAACTAAGTTCTTTGGAACTTTGAACTGTTTCATTTCACCTGAGTGTTATCACCTTCAGTAATTCTGTTTTCAGCTCAGGGTATCAGAGGAAATCAGATCACATCTGTTTCCAGTGGAGTCTTTTATCACCTCTGTAATAATATATCAACATACATTCCCACGGATTTCCAAGTTACGTAGTTATTTTGAAAGGAACAATGATGCTCTTGGCCCTTCTGGAGTTACTTTCTTTCTAATTACACTGGCCGTTCAGTTGGGATGATTTCTGAGATTGTGGGACACTCCCTTTCGCCCTGCTGGAAACTGAAGGGCCAAGGCTACCTAATCATAATAATTCACCGGTGTCTCAAGAACTCGGGGCTCAGCCCAACGTACATTCAGAACATGTGGTAACAGGACAGTAACGAAGGCCTTGGGAAAAAAGAAGAGGGAAAAGATGAGCTTAGTTTAGTTGGATTAAACTCTGACCTGAAATCTTTCATCTGCTCTTTCTTAAAAACAACCCTTATGTAATGTATTCCGTTTCATAAGTAATTCACAATCCATTTACTGACCCTGATCACTTCATCACCCTGGGCTGGCGGCTTGCTTGCCTGTGTTCCTAGGGCTGCTCAGGGGAGACGCCATGGTGGCTGGCCTGCCGTAGCCCCACTCAGGCCCTCCTTGGTCTCCAGAAACGTGCAGTGGGAAAGGCTTTGCTTGTGTCAGCCGCTCAGCGATTCCTACCTCTCCCCACGCCCTGATCGCACAGATTGTTCAGGCTGCAGAAACAGAGGTAGTTTAGGGCCGTATATTCTGGAACCAGTTTGTATCCTCCACAAACTAACGATGTAATTTAATCAGATAAGTAAATGATGTAATCTTCTCTGCCTCGGTTTCCTCGTCTGTTATGGGGCTCATGACACACACCTACCTGATAGCATTACTGTGAGGATTAAACAGGGTTAGTTCATGCTCACTAACGCTTAGCGCGTGGTAAACACTCATTACATTTAGCCACCATCCTCGTTAGCCTGCACATCTTCTCCCAGCGTGTTACCCTCACTCTCCCGTTGTGTTCACGTTTGCCAGCATCTACATGGGAGGTCCCTGCACTTAATCACTCTGAAGTGGAGTTACAGGATCAGCTGTGGTGATTGCGCGACACCTGCCCTTGTGGCCCACGTGGCGATGGCCCAGTGCCACTCAAGAAGCCCACTCTCCGGGGGAGTGGAAACATTTTCCCCATTGCTACCTGACTCATTGTGCAATTACAAGGGCCCTTTCATTTCAGTTTGCTGGAGAACCCAGATTTCAAACTCATGTCAGTCTAGAGGCAAATTAGGAGTTTGCAGAAACACAACCAAGAGGACAGTCTTCAGACTGGAGGTTGAGGACTTCACAGAAGGACTCTAAAGCCTTTTTCTGGCATCTCTACAGCAGAATAAGGAAACCACTATCTCGAGGTTGAACATGGGACACCAAATGTCTCACTCCTCCTCTCTTTATTTTTTTTTGCGGTACGCAAGCCTCTCACCATTGTGGCCTCTCCCGTTGAGGAGCACAGGCTCCGGATGCGCAGGCTCAGCGGCATGGCTCACGGGCCCAGCCGCTCCACGGCATGTGGGATCCTCCCGGACCGGGGCACGAACCCGTGTCCCCTGCATCAGCAGGCGGACTCTCAACCACTGTGCCACCAGGGAAGCCCTCCTCCTTTCTTCTTGTTCCCTCTTCATACCCTTGCTGATAAAAGACAATAGGACAAACAAAAACACGACCAAAGAAAACAATACACCAAGCAATAGATTTAGCAAATAAAATCTCACGTGGAACATACGCTCAAAAGCCATGTGTTGTTTAGCTGAAATTCCGATTTCAGCGGGCACAGTCTTTGATCTTTATACCCACCATTACATACCTTGGTAGCCTCACACTTTTTTCATGGCACATGCAAAGGACAAAAGAGCCTGCTAAAACAAAACAGGAAATGCAACAGTGGATTAAAGCCCCGTTAGATTTCTTTTGGAACAGAATAGGCAAGAAGGAAATCACCCAGCAGAGCCTGGGTGGAGCAATAGAAGCCCAAGGATGGGAAAGCTTTGGTTTCTCACAGTTAGAGGTTACGTGGTTTGTGTTTCTAGCCCTTCCCCACGGACACTGCTGTGCCAGAAGGACTGCGCTTGCCTCTGCCTTTATTCCCCAGAGTCCCACAAAGGAACCTCTGAGAGAAGCAACTCAGCATCACTTTCAAGAACTTCTGTTTGGAAACTAAGGGTAAACTCATGCTGTGTCAAGGTCACGATCCAGCCTGTTTCTTGTGTTTCTGAAAGTTGTCAGTGTTCGAGCCCAAATGCTTACACCACAAAGGGAAGGAAATGATGAAACGTCTAAAGAGGCTTCCGTAGAGCACATCGTATGGGGACCTTTACCTCCATTCCAGACAAATGGCATGTGACAAAGACAGCCTTCGCGACTGCCTTCAGCAGCATTCGTTCTTAATTTTGCAAATCACCAGGCTCTAGGGCCCAACCAGTGGTTGTTTTCTCTAATAAGTAGGTTCATTTTTGTACATTCAGTTTCCCCCTATGGCCTGCATTTTCTACCATTTTCCAGGTACACCGTCAAAGCTGGATTGTGTGCTTCATAAGATAATTGAGGTCTAAAGTGAGAAACCAGGATGTGTTGGCAGGCCTGAAAGCTGATCAAAGCCGAGCTTGGAAAGGGCTTTGCAGACAGGGCTCCATCAATGGAACAGCCAAGAAGAAACCCACAGCTTGGGCTTCCCTGGTGGCGCAGTGGTTGAGAGTCGGCCTGCCGATGCAGGGGACACGGGTTCGTGCCCCGGTCCGGGAGGATCCCGCATGCCACGGAGCGGCTGGGCCCGTGAGCCATGGCCGCTGAGCCTGCGCGTCCGGAGCCTGTGCTCTGCAA